TTTTCATTATCTGTAAGCCATAATCATCAAAATTTCAAGAAATAAAGGCTTGAAATATTTCACTCTATGTGTAATGAATCTATATAATATATGGGTTTCACTTTCTGAAATGAGTGACAAAAAATATTGACCTTTTTCATGATATTCTAATTTTTTTAGATGTACCTGTATATAGCAATATAGCCTATTAAGCCTAATAAAAACCTTACAAAAATCCCATTTTGTATTTTTTTGTTAATATTTCATAATAAAATAATTTAATCGATTTCCACTTCCCACAGCTCTTCACGGTCAACATGGACTACTCTAAACTGAAGAAGGACAGGCCTGACTTCTGAGCAGAGCCCAGTGAATCAACTGGGTGTGTTAAACCCTGCACTTCCTGCCCTGGAAGTCTATTCAACACGTCATCAGATACCAGATCTTACCTGTGAATGTGAATCCCCATTTTAAATAATTAAAGAAACTAAAAGGGAGCAGAGCACATACACAAGCTGTATAATCTGAATGTCTATCTTTTGTCAGGAACAATATTTTTACAGATACAAATATTGACACCTCAATGGAAAGGCATCATCAAACCTGGAACAAAATCATCTGTGATGATCTTCCTGTTATCCAAAATAACACAGACAGCAATAATAGAAGTGTTTTGTGTGTGTGAAGCATCCACTGCTGTATCCACTTAAATACATATTTAAGGATATAAACACTTTACAGAAGACTTAAAAAAGTAATAACAATCAGTGATGCCTGTGAAGTTTAAGGGAGACCATCTTGCTGTCAGATAATCGTAATTTCGGTAACGAAATGTTCGTGGAAGGCTTATTTGGTTTCATCAATGGTAATTAAGACGAGAGGAAAAATAAAAATCATGACAAAAATGAAATATTTTTAATTTGAATATAACAAAAATACGACGAGGAAAAAATGACGCCGCAATATATTATTAATGCACTGGTAATGGTTTCAGAAGAAGACAAAAATGTAAAAATAATATAGTTGTCTTAAATTCAGTCATATTTTGTCGCGGACTGCCACTGTCATGAAGACACTGGGCAGTTATGTAACGCGTTTTACGTAGCTAATTCAACCAGTCTAAAATTAATAACAGTCTCTAAATGAAGAAGAATTCACCACGCAGTCATTTCTGAAAAGTAAATAATTAAACATACGGAATTATGATCAGTAGAAGGCTATTACAAGAGCTCAGTTTTTTAATTGTAGGATTTGTGTCATTACGGACTGCTTATCTATGTTACAGACTTATTAAAACATATTTATATTTTAAAAATGTTAAAAAATGTCGTATAGCCTATTTAATTAATACACAATTTATATAATTAAAAAAATGTAGTATGCATATAAGATTCAAGTGAATTTATTGGCATAGCAAAACATGTATAATTATATAAATCATGTATAAATATATGAAGGTGTGCATAAATTTAAAGGTGTGTGTGTGTACAGTGGAGATCAAAATTAGAGAACAACCTATAATTTCCTAAATTTCAAGGTCACGCTATATTTAGTCCTATTTGAAGTTATCCTATCATTCTACAGATTTGCAATGGGGGTTTATGTAGGGTTGGGTATCGTTTGGGGTTTTTTCGATACCGGTGCCAAATCAATACTTTTAAAAACGGTTCCGGTGCCTAAACGGTGCCTGAACCTATACTTATAAAAAAAATAATAATAATTCCCCCAAAAAATGATGGATTGGCGGGGTTCGTGGGCGGGGCTCCATCAGAGCAAGTGTAATTACTGCATTCACGCGCTCCTCGGATGCTCTCATTTCCCGAGTTGCGCTTTTAAGTCGGAATGCGAAAACAACATAGACACGGGCCAAAGATGTGTTGGGCTTGTATTATTAGAGGAAATGAGGCACCGAAATCTGCGTTCGAATTCGGTTCTAGTACATAGGCCTACCGGTTACACAGTTCCCAATATGGGACTTCCCATATTGGGAAGTCGTGGCCTAATGGTTAGAGGGTTCTGGGTTCGAGTCTCGTAGATTGTAGGTGGGGGGAGTGAATGGACAGCGCTCTCTCCCACCTTCAATACCACGACTGAGGTGCCCTTGAGCAAGGCACCGAACCCCCAACTGCTCCCTGGGTGCCGCAGCAAAAAAATGGCTGCCCACTGCTCTGGGTGTGTGTTCGCTGCTCTGTGTGCACTTTGGATGGGTTAAATGCAGAGCACTAATTCCGAGTATGGGTCACCATACTTGGCCACATGTCACGTCACTTTCACTTCACTTTCACTTTCATAGGTACCAGTGCTGGTGCTTAAACCCTAGGTTTAAGTCTGGGCTCTGACTGGACGCAAGGACATTCACCTTTTTCTCCTTTGACCACTGTGTGGTCAGTTTTGCTGTGTGCTTTGGGTCATTGTCATGTTGGAAGGTAAACCTTCACATTAACAACTTTCTGGCAGAGGGCAGCAAATTTTCCTCAAGATTTTGACGGTATTTTGCCATATTTCCTATGGCAAAATACATCCATATTTCCTTCTATCCTGACAAGTGCTCCAGTCCCTGCTGCAGAGAAACACCCCATAACAGGATATTACCACCTTCATGCTTTACTGTAGGAATGCTGTTATTTGGATGGTGAGCTCTATTGGATTTCCACAAGATAAGGCCAAATAATTCAGTTTTTGACTCATCTGACCATAACACATTTTTCTATGTGGCCTCAGAATCTTCCAGGTGCGTTTTGGAAAAGCTCAGTCTGACTGCATGTGGCCTTTCTTGAGGAGTGGCTTTTTTCTTGCAACCCTCCCATACAAGCCACATTTGTGGAGAATATGCACACAATGCACAATGACCACTTTTTGTCATAAATTCCTGCAACTGCTTCAGAGTTGCAGTCAGCCTCTTGATAGCCTCTCTGACCAGTTTCCTCCTGGATCTTTCAACCAGTTTGAAGCGACATCCTGATCCAGGGAGGGTCTGTGTTGTATCATATACCTTCCACTTCTTAATAATAGACTTCATTGTGCTTCTAGGCATAATTACCACAGCTGATCACAGTTAAAAGTCA